TAGCACTGGAGAGGCGGCGGAGGAGATTTATCAGGATGTTGCCTGGACTGGAGAATTATGTTCAGTTTTGGAGAACAATTGGACTGGTGTTGTTTTCCTTAGAGCAGAGGAGATTGAGAAGCATAATATTATGAGGAGCATAGATATGGTAGATAGGAAGGGAATTTTCCCTTTTGTGCAGAGATCAATGACCAGGGGGCATAGATTTATGGGGCAGGAGGTTTAGTGGAGATGTGAGGAAAAGGCTTTGTCCAGTTCCAGCATTGCCTCCTTGCTCACAGAGGCTGAGTCTTGAGTTGCTAAAGGTTGTTGAAAATTTATCCCATTCAGCATCAGTGCTAGTGTTACACAACACAAGGGGGAATATCTTCAATGTGAACATAGTCCTTTGGGAGGCCTAGTCCCATGTGGGAGTTACTGTCACCAATCCTGTCAAACTGATGCATCTGCAACAGAAACACTGGATGAGGTGAAGTAAGCTTTGCCTTCTTGTTGGTTCCCTTACAACCATCCAGAGCCCAATCTAACAGTTACATCCTTGAGGACTCAGTTACCTTGTTCAGTAGGATCTGGAATCAATGAGGATTTCTAAGGAAACTCCCTCCTGACTGTATAACCCCTGTGCCTCCTCTTCTGCTGTTTCTGTCCTGCCAGTGGAACAGAACACATGCAGTAATGGTGATGTCGGTACCAGGAATAATATTTGTAAGAGTTCATCATTATGGCTATATTAGGCTGCTGCTTGATGAGTCTGTGAGATGTTCTCCTCATTTTGCTCAAGCCCCAGTTGTCAGTAAGGAGTGTTTTGCATGGTTAACAGGTCTGGATGTGTGCTGTTTTAGTTTCCAGTGCCCTAATCAATGCCAAGTGTCCAACTTCAATCCTTTCCTTTATATTTTTAACCGTTTGATATGGCTGAGTGGATTCATTGAATCCCTACAGTGTGGAAGCAAGCCGTTTGGCCCATCGAGTCCACACTGCCTCACTGAAGAGCATCCCATCTAGACCCAGCGCCCTATCCTACCCCTGTAACCTCACATTTCCCATGGCCAATCCACCTAGCCTGAACATCTGTGGACAGTGGGAAGACATCAGAGCATCCAGAGGAAACCCACGCAGACACAGGGAGAATGTGCAAACTCCACACAGGCAGTCACCCCACATCTGGAATCAAATCCAGGTCCCTGGCACTGTGAGGCAGCAGTGCTAACCACCAAGCCACTGTACCATCGTTGTTAAGGATCGTTAACCAGGTTAAACCATGAAGGGTGAACATAAGAAACAGTAACGGGACTGGGCCATACTATCCCTCACGTCTGCTCCACCAAACAATATGATCATGGCTGATCTGTCTCAGCCTGGCATATTAGTTTGTCATAGCCCTCAACTCCCCAATATTTCAAAAATCTATTTACCCCTCTTTAAATGTTATCTAGCTCCCACAACTCTGGAGAATTCCAGATATTTGCTATCCGCTAGGAGAAGAAATTCCTTCATATCTCCATTTGAAATGAGTGTCCCATCATTCTGTAACTATGTCCCCTAGTTCAAGACTCCCTCACAATCACTGTTTATCTTCTTAACATCTTCTCTGTTAAGCCCCTTAAAATCTTGGGTTTGTTATAATAAGGTCACCCCTCATTCTTCTAAACTCTAATGAATTCATGCCTAACCTGTTTTGCTGTTCTTGATAAGTCAACCTCTTCATCCCAGGAATTGGCTAATTGAATCCTTTTTGAACTACCTCTAATACCAATAGAATCTTTTCTTAAAAATGGACACCAAAGCTTTTCACAGTATTCAGTAGCTACCTGTACAGTTGTAACAAGATTTCTGTAATTTTAAACTCCAAACCCCTAGCAATAAATGCCAAAATTCCATTTGCCTTCTCAATAACTTGCTGCACCTGCATGCTAACTTATTGTGCTTTATGCACAAGAACACCCAGATCCCTCTGTGTTGCACTTTTTTTGGAATCTCTCTCCATTTAAATAACTGTCTGCCTTTGATTCTTCCAACCAAAGAATATGATTTCACAATTTCCTGCAACAAACTCCATTTGCCTTGTTTTTGCCCACCCACTCAACCTGTCGATATCCCTTTACAGATTCCTTACGTCTTCATCACGACATGCTCTCTCAACTGTTTTGCATCATCACCAAATTTGGAAATATTGCAATCCAGCCCATCCATCAAGTCATTAGAGGAGGGATTTCAATGGTAATAATATCACTGAAGACAACGGATAATGGTTCTTTATTACCACTTGTGTAGTGCAAGTGAGTCTTGCTATTTATCAGCCTAGATCTGCATTTGGACATGGACTGCTTCAGATCCCCCACCATCAATATCCTGGGAGTTACCATTGACCAGAAACTGAACCAGACTCTCCATATAAATATTATGGCTATCAGAGCAGGTTGGATGCTAGGAATACTGTGACTGTAACTCATCTCCTGACTCCCCAACGCATGTCCACCATTGACAAAGCACATAAGGACACTGTACTTGTCTAGATAACTGCAGCACCAACAACTTTCAAAACACCATCCAGGACATAGCAACCCACAGCACTGGCACCACATCCACAAACATCCAATCCTGTCACTACCGACGCTCAGTAGCAGAATGTGTACCATCTACAAGATGCACTGCAAGGCTCCTTAGACAGCACTTTCCAATCCCACACCATTTCCACCTAGAAGGACAAGGGCAACAGATACATGGGAACACCATCCCCTGCAAGTTCCCCTCTAGGCCACTCACTATCCTGACTTGGAAATATATCACCGTTCTTTCAGTATTGCTGGGTCAAAACCCTAGAATTCCCTCCATAACAGTCTTGTGAGCCAACCTACAGTACATGAACTGTGGTGGTTCAAGAAGGAAGCTCACTACAGTTCTGGTCACCACACTACCAGAAGGATGTGGATGCTTACCAGAAAGCTGCTTGGTATGGGGGATTTTAACCATGAAGAAAGGTTGGTCAGACTGGGTTTGTTTTCACTTGAACTCAGAAGGATGAGGCTTGATGATAGAAGCTTATAAAATTGTGAATGGTATGGATAGAGTGGAAAGTATAAGGCTTTTTCCCAGGGGAGGGGTCAATTACTAGGGGCCACAGGTTCAAGGTGCAGAGGTGTGCGAGGCAAGTTTTTCACAAAGGATGGTGAGTCCAGAGGAGGTGGTAGAAGCAGACACAGTAGCAGGATTCAAGAATCACCTGGAAGAATACGTGAATAGGAAGGGAATAAAGGAATATGGACCCTCCAAGTGAAGACAGTTTTAATATGGAAGGACAAACAAAACAAAATGTGTTGGTGCAGGCTTGGAGGACCAAAGGGCCTGCTCCTGTGCTGTATTGTTCTTCTTTGTTGTTTGTACTGCCTCCCAAGGCAACTAGGGATGGGCAATAAATGCTGGTCCAGCCAATGACATCCACATTACATGAATGAAAAGGAAATCCTAACTGAACTGTTTGAAATGACACTTTTTGAGAAATGATGCCCTGAAACCCATTTGGCTAGTGAATGACAGTGTCTATTAGCATACTTCTCCTCCTAGGAAAATCACTGGTGATACTTTGATTCAATTTATAGCAATTAACAGTGAACCCAAATTTCAAATTACTACTAAATCTTACATCAAATTGTTGCAAAATATGTCACATGAAGTGCTTTAAGGAAAACTGCCAGGGAAAAACTCCCCAAAATCCAAAGTGTGTAATATATCTGTTTCTGAAACTGAAAGTGAGCCAATATCTATGAAATTATCGTTAGTATTAAGGAGAGAACAACGTGGAAACAATCTATCATTTCTAAAGGTAAAGGTAGTAATTGGGCGCAGCACGGTGGCTCAGTGGTTAGCACAGCTGCCTCACTGCGCTAGGGATCTGGGTTCAATTCCAGCCTCAGGCAACTGTCTGTGTCCAAAGATTTGCAGGATAAGTAGATTGTCCATAGTGTCCAGGAATGAGCAGGCTAGGGGGGTTAGACATGGGAAGTGCAGGGTGATAGGGTAGGGAGGATGGGCTAGGTTGGAATGCCCTTCAGAGGTTTAGTATGGACTCAATGGGCCAAAAGGCCTGCTCCTATACAGTAGGGATTCTATTCTATGAGACAGCAGCCATAAATTCTAAGCATCTCATGATAAATAACCAATTGCATCATACATCAGCAGTGTGTACTAACTACAAGCTGTACTGCAGAAATTCACCAAAGGTCCTCAGACAGCACCTTCCAAACCCATGACCACTTCCATCTAGAAGAATATGGGCTGCAGACATATGAGAACACCACCACCTACAAGTTCCCCTCCAAGTCACTCACCATCCTGACTTGGAAATATATTGCTGTTCCTTCACTGTCACTGGGTCAAAAACCTAGAATTCCCTCCCTAAGGTCATTGTGGGTCAACCCACAGCAGATGGGCTGCAGCAGTTCAAGAAAGCAGCTCACCACCACCTTCTCAAGGGCAACTAGGGATGGGCAATAAAAACTGGCCCAGTCAGCAATGCCCACATCCCACAAAATGAACCAAACAAAAAAAATCTATTTTGTTTAAATTTGTTCTCTTGATGATACACAAGTATGTTGTGATCATTCATGAGAACTAATAATGGGATTACAATACAAATTCCTGGAGCTTTGCATGAGTTCTATATCGGCAGTGACACAGTGGTACAATTGTGACCTTGACCTTCACCTCTGATCATGGACTTTATTTTGTCGATCACAAGCATTCACTGAGAATTTGCAAATTTAGCTGATACATCAACTGACAGAATAAAAGTCAACTCATGATTGGTGCATAAACATAAGATTGAAGTAATTTCCAAAAGGGTCTTTTCAGTAGAACAGAACTCAACAAGGAAAAAGTATTTGTCACTATGCTCCCCTGAAAATAACACAATATAAATTAAATATTAATTATTATTTACAACTCACATGGCTCTAAGGATACTGAATATTCTCTGTTTTGCTCTGTTTATCCTAATCAAGCCTATAGCTAATCTTAATGAGGCCCATGAGCTCCTGGAGTCTGAAACTCAGTTGCTGTCAACAGCAACATCTGCAGATCCTGCATTTTACCCAGATTGGCACAAAGCTCATACATTGGACAAGATCAGCCCCAGTTTGAACCTATTAAACAACAGTTCGGACGATAGGAACAATCAGATTGGTTCAGCAATTTCCGTTGAAAAAGATGTAAAAAAAGCAGCAGCAGACCAGAGTTCAGCTGAATTGGAAGTGGATGGTAATGAAGGTAGTTCAGCTCCAGGTTTGTCACAGGTCAGTGGAGATTTCAATATTTGCAAAAGAATTCTGTGCTTATGGTAGACCAGTTTAACAACAACATTCCTGCACTGCATTGCCTTGCTCAGCCATACAGCTAAATTAGTTTTGTGCACAGAGGCATTAGCCTGCATTTTTTTTTTTTTTTTGCTTGTTACTAATTAAAAATGTATTAATGAGGCAGTTAGAAAGCTGTTTCCTGATAGGTCATAATAAATTGTCATTGCAGGAGAAACTGAGGCAAACACATCAAGGAGACCATAAATTTATTCCCTAGCTTGTTAAACCAGCTGATTTCAACCCACAGCAGTAATAGTGAGAGTAGTAAAAGTAACCTGTTCTTTCTCTTTAAATAATTATCTACGGTTCCATTTGAAAGGTGTACATAGATAGTTCTGATGTGTGGATGAGGTCAATTTAGGCACAATCTGATCATGATTCAGTCTTGGGTTTTCTGATTATCAAGCAGGAGTAAATGAGTTGACATATAAAGTTAGCCAGAAAACCTAGACTTTGCTGTCTCGGCTCACGAAAAGAAAAATAGTACACTAGGCAATGAACAAACCTATTGAGGTTCATGAATCACTGCCTGTGGGAATGCTGGGCAGCAGGGGCTTAGGGAAACTTACTGTTACTCTTCCTCTAATACCATTCTGAAAGATATTAATTTAAACAGATCGGTAAAGAGAAAGACTATTCCACCTCTGAACAAACATTTGCAGTCTGCTACTATGTGCTATCTTCATGTACTTGTGCTGAATGCTTCACTTTGCACTGTTTAATGTCATTGCCTTCTCACCACTCTGCATTAACTGAAGTACTTGAAGGATCATTTGTGAACAAAAGTGCAGACCCAGTGTATCTTATTTTCTCACAGGGTCTAGCGTTCTTCATTTCAGTTTTGGGTTTGATGATCATACTTCGCCATCTTTGGAATCAGATTCAATCCATGATTTTTTCTTTACTGGGTAGGAGGACTACTTTTCAATATGGTATCTTAAAGGCATAAAGTAGTTTCTCATATTCTCAGCTAGGTAAAGAACTAAAACCAGTAGATTTGTTTTCAAATAAAAATTAGAGTAAATGACGTTCCTCCACATATTTACTTCTGGAACACATCCTCTTGCTATGAGAATAGGACTCCCACATTATTCCCCTGTACTTTTACTGCTTTCAGTGCTGCCCTACAATTGACTAATAGAAACTCCACATCATAGGTTCCAATTGGCGGTATCAGTTTTTTTCATATCCTTGAAGTCACGAAACAATGAGAGCAAATGTGAGCTAAATTCTAACTCTATGGATTGGAAACCTATTTCATCATTACTAAGGCCATCTAGTCATTGCACAGTCTGATGCAGAAAATGTATTTAATTACAAAGATTCAGGGTTTAAGTTTTTCAGAAGCTGATAATTGTTGCCTTTTAAATTCTTGCTAAATACCCTTCTTTTCTCCATATTTGCTAAGAGTTGGGAAATCTTTGCATGCTGATTGACAATCTAACTGCTCAAGGTTTGTGGTTTAATTAACTGAACCGCTTGTATTCTGTTGCTGAGCTTAAACCCTGTTGATCAATCCTCATTCAAATTTGTTTTTATGAGAGTGAGAAACTACTTTAATGTGGTATATACCGCAATCCCAAATTTAATGAGCGAGTGGTGGAATAAAGTCCTAAAGCTCTTCTCTGGATGAAAAAAGTGTTTTCTTTTCTGAAATTGCAGCATTTTATAATCAGTGTTGCTCGTGAGATTCACACGTATTTGGAACTTGTCTCATATGAGTATGCGTCACTAATTTGTCCATAAATTTTGATTAAATATAGAGCGTATCAAAAAATATTTATAAATCATACAAACATTGGTTACCAAACAAACACGATGATAGTAGAGCTGAATGAAAGCAAACTCATTGCCTGCTTCTCAAGGTTAACTAGGGATGGGCAATAAATGCTGACCCAGTCAGTGACACCCATGTCCTATGAGTGAATAATTTTTAAAAAAAACTGCATCTTTTATTGTTTTGCTTCATGCCTGAAAATTTACGAAGTTAGAGCCCTTTTCTATACATTTTGTTTCTTCCTATCTGAGTTTAATTTCTGCTGCTCACGCAGCTGAATTGTTGAGGTGGACAAGCAATCAAGTTCCTGTTCATTAGTGCTGTTTCAAACTCTCTCCAAGAACAAGTAGAGGAGCCAATTAACAATACTACCAGATTACATTTATATCACAAGATTAGCACAGATGTAATCCAATTTCATTTCCATATATATTTAAAAGACTGGGGCTTTCAAGGTGCAGCGGAAGTGCCCCTATCTCTAAATCCAGGAGTCCTGGGTTCAAGTAACGTCTCTGGATAGTTTAAGAAAGTGTGTGTGTGTGCGCAGGCTGAAAGATAAAAGCACCACTATGTCATGCACATTTAACCTATGTAAAACAGGGAATACTGCCAGAAGACTAACGGAGAGTCAATGCTATTCTTAATTTTAGGAAGGAGGGCGATATAATGTCAGGCAACAATATGCCAGTTAGCTTAACGTCGGTTGGAGGAAAGATTTTATTTCATTTAGTGAATGACAATTCCCATAGCCAAGCATTTGCTGAGTTGTAGGTGATTAGCCAATCACTTAGTTTGTAGAAAGGACATTCCTCAAGTCCACAAGGGGTTTTACTGAGCACCCAGTGGAGGGTGACAGCACAGGTCCTGGCTTCGTCCTTAACCTGCTTAACAAGGACTATTCTCGTTGGCCATTTGACAGATAGGGTTTGTCACAAGAAACTTGATAGTGAGTTTAGTGAGGAAAGATCATTGAATGTATACCCAACAACATAGAGTCAGAGTCATACAGCACAGAAACAGACCCTTCAGTCCAACCAGTCCATGTTGAACACAATCCGAAACTAAACTAGTCCCACCTGCCTGCTGCTGGCCCATATCCCTCCAAACCTTTCCAATCATATACCCATCCAAATGCCTTTTAAATGTTGTAATTGTACCTGCATCTACCATTTCCTCAGGAAGTTCATTCCATACACGAACCACCCTCTGTATAAAAAAAGAGTTGCCTCTTACGTCTTTTTTAAATTTCTCTCCTCTGACCTTAAAAATGTGTGCCTTAGTCTTGAAATTCCCTATCTTAGGCAAAAGATAACTGCCATCAATTCTATCAGGTCACCTCTCAACCTCCTACGCTCAAGTGAAAAAAGCCCCTGCCTATATTAGAAAAAACACCAAGAAACTAAAAATATAATAATTCAAATTTAAAAAAGAAATGATAATGCTTGACTGGCCTGACCAGGGAGTCCAGGATTATGATATATAAACAGGAAAGTGTAGCTGAGAACACCAATCATATCAAACATGATTTCATTGAATGGCAGAGCAGACTCAAAGGACAAAAATGATTCTGTTTTGAAGTTCCTATTTAATTATTTGAAGAAGTAATACAATGCGTAGTCATGAGTAACATAGTAAAGGTATTGTATTTAGATTTCCTAAAGGTCCTTGATAAGGTTCTGCGAAATAAAATCATGACTAACATCGCAGCATGTGCAGTTAAGCAGCAAGTAGAATCCACACTAAGCTGCAGCTACAAAACTGAAAACAAAGTGTGAGGGATAAGTGTAGCTGTGCAAATTAGCAGAAGGAAGGCAGTGGTATTCCAGAAAGATCAGGGTTTGGACGACTGTTGTTCACAATTTACATAGAACATAGAACATAGAAGATTACAGCGCAGTACAGGCCCTTTGGCCCTCAATGTTGCACCGACCTGTGAAACCAATCTGAAGCCCATCTAATCTAAACTATTCCATTATCATCCATATGTTTATCCAATGACCATTTAAATGCCCTTAAAGTTGGCGAGTCTACTATTTTTGCAGGCAGGGCATTCCACGCCCTTACTACTCTCTGAGTAAAGAACCTACTTCTGATATCTGTCCTATGTCCATCAACCCTCAATTTAAAGCTATGTCCCCTCGTGCTAGCCATCACCATCCGAGGAAAAAGGCTCTCACTGTCCATCCTATCTAATCCTCTGATCATCTTGTATGTTTCTATTAAGTCACCTCTTAACCTTCTCTCTAACAAAAACAGCCTCAAGTTTATCAATTGAACTCGGGAATTAGAAGTTTAGTTTGAAAATTTCCAGATGATATCAAATTGGGGAAATATTGAGGATTGGTACACCATAGTACAAGATGACATTGTAGTATGAGTCCCTGCAGACTCTCAGTTAGGTTTAGAGCTGTACACTGGATGTGAGAGGAATAAGTGACAATACCCAGGAATATATCAAATCAACACATTTTTATGAATATAATGATAACAACAGCAACATAATGATTAAAGTTATAAAAATTATAAATAATTATATTAGTGATAATATATACAAAGTAAGAGAAAAGAAAGGAAGATAACTTTATTGAAAGGAAGAAATGCAGCTTTATTGTAGCACAGGTATTAAGCCCAAACTTGCCTGCTCAGTGGTAAAATGGTAAAAATGGCCCTTGGCACAATCACACTAAGTCTCCAAAAGAGATCATTCACTCTACCAATGTCCCTTTCCTCTTTTTTTAGTCTTAAGGTGACTGTGGACCACTTGGCTGCAGCAGCAAATTCTAGAAGCAATGTTCCTTTAAACCAAATTTCTGGCTCTGTTCCAAGCTTCGAATCTTCCAGCCATAGTTTCTCAAAAGAAAAAGTTTGAACAAAAATATGCATCTTATCTCTCAGGGACGTGGTAAAATCTGCATGCTGCACAATCCCTTAACATCCTTGATGGTGTCTCTCAAATGTATCCTTTCCATCAATTGAACTTCATCTCATCAGCCAACCCATGTAAAGGCATGAACTATCTGGTGTCCACTTCAAGGGTCATTAGGAAAAACACAAAGGATGATTTTATATTTTTAATCAATGAAAAATGAAACAAACTTGGCAAGTCTAAAGGCAAAGAAATATCCAGTCAAAACATAGCTGGGTACCCATGACAAACAGGGATATCCTCCATGGCAGAACCCAATACCAATTGCAATTGATTAATCAAAGCACAATCATGGTTTCATTTAATGCAAAGTTGTTATGATCCCAGGTCATGCTAAAACTTGATCATTCAGATCCCAAATGAAATCTGGCTTTATATTTTATTTTAAATTTATATTTTCTATTATTTTAAATATAATATGGTGATCTTTCACTGACATATAAACACAAAACATAAACAATAAACAGAGGTTAGCTATATAAGAAATAAATAAGTGAAATGGTTTCAGAGATGGTAGGAACTGCAGATGCTGGAGAATCTGAGTTAACAAGGTATAGAGCTGGATGAACATGACAGGCCAAGCAGCATCAGAGGAAAACATTGCTGCTCTGATGCTCTTTCCTCTGATGCTGCTTGGCCTGCTGTGTTCATCCAGCTGTACACCTTGTTATCTCTAAGTGAAATGGACCACATTATCTAAATGTAATGCATATTGAAAGATTTCTAAACTCATGGGAAAATCCCATCAATTCCAAACACCATTAATCAAAACCCAGAAAAGTTCCTTCTCTATCAGATCTGCAGGTTTGCTTCAAAGTTAGAACATAGAACTGTACAGCACAGGAACAGGCCTTTTGGCCCAGAATGTTGTGCCAAACATGACACCAAATTAAATGAATCCCTTCTGCCTGCCCTTGGTCCATATCCCTCCATTCCTTGCATATTCATGTGTTTCTCTAAAAATCCCTTAAACATCCCTATTGTATCTGTCTCCACCACCACGCCTTGCAGCATGTTCCATACTCCTACCACTCTCTGTGTTTTAAAAAAAAAACTTGCCCCTCACATCTTCTTTGAGTTTTCTCCCTCTCACCTTAAATGCATGCCCCCTAGTTTTAGCCCTGCCTTATGTTCTGTTCTGGTCCTGTGAGGTGATGTGTCTTTTCCTCGGTCCACTCACACAACTGAGATCTTAGACTTTCCCA